TATAAGTAAAGAAAATTTAAATACAAAAAAAAAAAAGGCATCGGTCAAGACGACGCGATGTGGGGGGGTACGTGGTGGCGAGTTGGTGGTGCTGATGATGTATTGGTAACTGGTATATGGCCACTGGTCACCTCTACAACGTTCTCACGGGCTGTCCTGCGGGGCGGACGAGAGTCGCGGGCGAGTTTGCTCGAGACCGCCAAGACGACCATGGCAGCGGACGAAGCCCGGCCACGACGGCTGCGAGAGCGACGACGATTGGCGACGAGAGGCTAGTTCGCGATGTCGTGCGCTGCTTGACGGTACTGCGGGTGCTGAAGACGACTGCTTGTGCCGGCAACGACGGTGACCTGCAAAGCTCGGAGAGGCGAGCTGGCGACTACGATCTCGGTGCAGCTGCGGAATCGGCGGCGTTGCGACTCGGGATCGGACCACTGGGCGAAAAAGAGAGAAAATCTGCAGACAGCTTCGCGACGACGTGCCGCTGTCCTGATAGTCTCCGTGATTTTCGCCCTGGCGTCTCCGTCTGCCGCAGCCGATGGCCACGGAGCCGCGCACCGTCGAACCCGACGAAACGTTTCGTTTCCTCGAGCCCGGCGCTGCTGACGTCCGTGGCGTTCCTAGCTATACCCTGTAATCATAGTCATCCGTCACTCACCCGCCGTGAGCTCTGAGGTCTCCGTCGCCGCCGTCACGCGAGTCGCGCAGCACTGCAGCGTTCGTCACTGAGCAGGTACCGTCGGGGACGGCGTCGTTGTCCGCGCCGGTACCGCTAACCTCCGTCGTCGTCGTGTCGTCGTCGCTCCCGGACCGAAGCAGCCGGGCGCCCGCCGCGCCGCCAGAGGGTCTCGCGTGTCTCGGCGACCTCGAGCTCGCAACGTCCGCGATCCCGTCGCGCTGCCGCAGGATGGCCGGAGAACGTGTATCGGCGACTTACCGCCGGTCACCACCTGAATGTGCACTGCCGCGTACCTATTACCTCGAAACCCCACACGTCGCCTCGTCTTGTCCGCTGCCCTCGGCCAGGGGGGAAACTTTTGGACGGTTTCACTTCGGGGGACAACAACAGCGCAACACGCGTGCGGCTCTCGTCAGGCCTCTCCACGCAGAGGACACCAGTCTCGCCGTTGCACTGCGCGGAGCTGCGCGTGTTTCTGCCTTGACCCCCGGGTCCAGCCAACCAATCAAGATCCCGATACTATTTCTGACTTCCAGTCCTCTGGCCGGTGTGGCGCCCACCGCCTCGCCATCCAGCTCCTTTTTCGCGGCTTCCTGCACCGGAGGCGCGACCACTTCAACGATCGGTTCAACCGGTTCTGCCATTTTGTCAGATTTGTCGACCGGTTGAAAGACGTTGGACGGAACGTAGTCGTCCCCCGCGAAGCGCGTCGCATACGATAAAAGTCCTTCCAGGTCTCCGATGGTAGGCTCTTGGTCGATGTCGTCTATTCGTTTAAGTTCTTCTTCCATAATCTCGTACTCGACGTTGCTTATTATTTTTCCCAAGATTTGCATGATAGTTGTTTCCATTTCCTTTTCTTCGATATGCGATGCAGCCATTTTTTCGTTCAGGTTTTTTTTTTGTCCGCGTAAGGTTAGGTCAGATTATATACTCAGATGAGCTCAGAGTTGCAAATGTGCCGATTTCGGTATTTATTCCTGGGCCGTCGACGATGATTTTAAACAAACATCGTTTAATAGTAGCCAGCATATTATTATATTAATCGACGGCCGGCATCAGCTGGATTTCGGGCCCGTTAATTTTTCCAAATGCCATTATTACGACTATTATTGGTATACCTACTCTAACTGTATATACTTACGCAGAGGTACACTATAATAATTGTATTATAATATTTTAACGAGGATTTATATGTCGATATGCATTATATTACTATACTGTCGTATATATAATATATATACTCGCTTTATACTTTTGTAGGTACCTATAAGATTTTTAGATTCAGAACGGAACGCGACCAATGCGTATTGCGATTTTACAATTATTGTTTTTTGTGTATGTGTTGGGGTGTACCTATATTGCGTTTTATACAGTGCCGTAAAAACCGGGTGTGCAGAGTGTGTACCACACACAGGCCTCGGGCCCCATAATATATCGAAGGGCCTCAGAAGATCTAAAGACTAATATTAAACTAATATAAAATTATTAAAATATATAAATTATTTATTATTTATTTTTTAACCTAGTAAATTACTAGGTTTATATGATGGCGTTAAAACGGTTTATACTCAAACCGTTTTGAAAGTTAAAACGCTAGCGCTATGTAGTTTAAGAATTTAAAACCGTTTTATATGTTTTGTTATGCTGTATTTAATTATTTTTGATTATCGCATTCCGTTATAATTACGTTTACAAACATGTATCGTTTTTTGTAAAAAATAAAACGTTATAATCAATAATCATAATGTTATTATAACGTTTGCAAGCTCTGCCATATCCATAAAATATTGCAATTTTTCAACCACTTCAAGATTGAAATTCCCAACTTACCTATTTAAATCACAATAAATTAAATTTTCAATTAGGCTGAATTGTATTGTTAATTTATTTATTGTACAACCTAATTTGTTTATGGTCTATAGAACTAGCCCTTCTGAATACAAAAAAATCGGCAGAATTGTCGACCGGTTTTTTTGTCTGCTGACTTTAAAAATTGCAAAAAAAGTTTTTGAGTTGTGTATTGAAAAAGATAATAAGGGGCCTCAATATTTTGGTTTGCACACAGGCCTCAAGTAGCCTAGTTACGGCACTGCTTTCTTACCTATTTACTACGACCATAGTTTATTGGTATAGTGTTTTTTGTAGTAACTAGTAAGCCAGCTACTACGGAGTAATACCAATTTCATAAGTACATAGTTATTATTATAATATACGATGAATCGGGATTCAGATTTCAGAATTAGGCGTAGTAACATTTGACAGTAACAATAAAACCAAATTCCACAGGTGCATAGTTATTATGATACTATACGGTAGACCGGCATAACCGGGAGATTAGAGAACATAAAAGACACCAGGGTTCAAAAAATAAGCGGATGAAATATTTTACAGAAAGAACTGAATACGGCGAAATCAAAATATAAAAGAGTAAAAAAGATTATTTTATAATAATCATAATGTAGAAATACATGCAGTCGTAAATGCGTAGGCCGGATAAATGTCCACAACAAATCACATCCGTGAGAACCGAGATATCGTATATGTAGGCAAGGGGTACGGGGGACCTCATATATAAGGGAGCCCGAATCCGGAATCGGCCTGTTTTCAGACGTGTACCTACTACCACCCATTAGAGCAAGCACCTTCACGTCACTTTGTACAATATTATTTGGACTTAGAAAAAATTATCGAACGTTATAAAAAAATTCACAATATACGACAACTCTCTTATTAATCATTCATCAACCACGACTTCAGCATCAGATAAAGTGTCTGCGACCTGCAACTATAACATCTTGGTAGCCACTTATCTACTGTCAGCACTACGATAGTAGGTACCAAGCCACCAGATCCTTACATTTTCATAATATCATCCCGATTCCCGATTCGTACGATTCTGTAAAATACTTTATTGTTAATTACAAATCGTTGAAAATAATTTTCTGTTTTTACCGTACTTTAAAAAACTGTCCCGCTTCGTACGATTCTGTGTAGTACAATTCTATTATACACCAATCCTTTGTAAACGGTTTTCGAGAAAATAATTTCCTGATAAAAATATTCAATGGTATTTTTGTTCCAAAAAAATCACATTCTGAAAAAAATAATTTCATTAAATAAAAGTCTGGTTGAATAGTGTTAATGAAAAATATGGTTCATAGAAATCATCGTTCTGATATTAATTTTCCCGAAAAATAATTTCCCGTTTTTTACGGCCCTCCGCTGTACTCTAAACCACATTACACCGAATAACCGAACGATATATTGTTATCAATCTTTTCGTACTGATAAATGATAAACGTAAAAATATAATGTATATAATTAGCAGTTAGCACTTAGAGTTGAAACTTTAAAAGGTGGTTAGGTTTAGGACTTAAGAGGACGCTACCCAAACATTTGCTGTCTCCGTCTTACACACGCACGACATAGCAAATTGTCATTCACTAGTTTCAATAGTATGCAGTTAGTTTTGATACTAGAGTGAATTGACCTAGTATAACATAATATTTAGATAATAACATTATCTGTGTTTAAGCGTTGGCTTTTATTCGATATTTTAATTTTCAAGCGAGATATGAGCATTTAAAATTTTTGATATTTCACGTACACATATCTTACTTGAAAATGAAAATATTTAAAAATCGCCAACGCTTAAGCACAGATAATATTCTTACCTAATAGTATGATAATAGGTCAATTCACTCTAATATTAAAACTAACAACACACTATTTAAACTAGCGAATGGAAATTTGGTATGTCGTGCGTGTGTAAGACGGAGACAACAAATACATGGGTAGCGTCCTCTTAAGATTTGTATGAATTGATCAGCATTTTGTGAAACGAAAAGTAGTTATCCTTGTATTGAACGTAATTAAAATTCGGTGGGGATTACCGGCAACACCGTCTTTTCCATGCACCGCGTAAATTCCTTCGAATCATCACCGGCGGGCGGCGACAGCTGATATCAGACGTTAAAATATCGGTTATTTTTTCCACGACGTTGAACGTTCTGAACTTACAATTCAAATTTTAAGCTAAATAATATCAATCATGATATTATAATTCATCAACAAAATAAAATTATATTATAATAAGTGCATCATGACACAGTAATCACTATTCTAACGGAATTTAATTTTAATTTTCAAACTCTTACCAAGTATAGCTATCAAGTATCAATGTTTGAATACTTGAATGTTGTTACGTCTTGCTTTTAAATATTAAATTCGTAACACTAAACGATATTATATTGTTGGATTCTTCGAAATCTTTCTGTTTTCTAATTTGCGTGTACATTAATAGCTTTGAATTTTTAAAATGAATAAAGAAAGGCGCGTTGGCCGTCGTAGTGTGGTACAAAATCTTGTTAAACTTACTCCCGAATACGATAATGGTACGTATCTAGTATAATATTATTTTATATCTTTATTATTATATTTCAAACAAAATAAGTACTCACAACTCATACCATATATTATATTATAAATAATTATATGGACCTTAATTACCTGTCGGCTATCATATTAATTGTGTAAGATCCGTTTTATTCCCATAAGTAAGTACCAAGTTGTTATGTATTTTCATTGAAATTCTGACTATTTAGATAATTGATAGTAATAGTATGCCAAATTTTCATTCACAGTTAAACACCAGTGTTTCATATAAAACATACATTATAATATATTTTATGTACAATCATATAATATTGAACAACATACCTATCTCGACACACTATTTATAAATTAATTGTTCTATCTTAAAGTATGTGGCTATGTAAAATTATATAAATACCGGGCATTCTCATTTTAATTAGGTTAACAAAATATAATGCATACCTAGGTATCTTATTTCGGTAAATTATTATAGTTAATAAATATCATAATTCAACGTTGTTAAATAATACTAGGTATGATACAAATTGTTCTCTGCTATCTAATTAATTATTACAATATTACCTAAATAATTACTTTGCTGGTGACTTCACTCTCAGCTATAATAATGATATAATATAGATAATACTCGATTTACATCATAAGAGATTTTGAGTAGCGTTCAATATTTATTTGGATATTATCTTTTTTATGATATTCTTAAAGATAACTAATGGTTTAAAATTTAAAAAATAATAAATATAGAAAACAAAATATGGATATCAGCCTATTATTTTAGAAAAGATTTGTTAATTTAGATAGAGTTAATTTCTTAATTACCATAATCACAACATAGTTTGAATACCTATATTATATAAAATAATTAAACTTTGCATGTATCTTTTAGAAGAAAAAGTGTCAGTTGGACCAAAAAAAGCTTTGTTTGATGACGACACATTTGTTATGAAACGTACATTAAAGCCATTACATGAGGTATATACTAATATTTACATACCGTATAAAAGTAACAATAATCAATGTATTTCAATTTATTTTCAGATTAACAATTTTCAGTTTACTTCGTCAAAATCAAAAAGTCATGATAAACTTTTTACAGAAAATACTTTTGACATACCAAAATCTACATACATGGATATGTTTAGTAACCATAATAAAATTCCATTATCTCCACCTAGTAGAATGAAACTTCTTGAATCATCAATGGGGAAATCCCGCCAAAAGCCTTGTGAACCTGTATTGCAATCAAAAGAACTTTTTAACACACTAATTGACTCACCTTGTACTAAGTATGAAAAAGTACAGTTCAACAATGCATTATCATCTGCCTCTAAGTATTTATTAAACCGCCACTTAGAATCAGTCCAACAAAATTCTGACATATTTAATGTCTCAACACCTGATGTAAATTTGTGTCCTGTCAATGAAAATCATTTTAATAAATTCACAGCTCCAAGTTTAATAGATTTAAGTATAACTCCGAAGCCAGACATATGTCAATCTCATAATCAAACTCAAACATCAAATCTACCTTTATTAGTTGAAGTAACGAAAAACAAAAAAAATGATGATATTTGCCAAAATCAAACATCAAACATGCCCATATTAGTTGAAGAAATTGAAGGATTGAAAAACAAAGATATTGATGATATTCGTCCAACTCAAATATCAAATCTTTCTTTATTAGTTGAAGATATTGAAGAACTGAAAAAAAAAGAAATTGACGATATTCGCCAAACTAAATCACAATGTTGTGACTTAATGAAGACCCGGTTCAAAGAAATTGAACTAGAAATTGAAAAACATTTTGGCATTATGGAAAATAAAGTTAATGAAAACTATGATAAATTGATAAAAAAAATTCAAGATGGAAACAATGACAGTGTTGAATCACAGACTTCAATCGTTACAACAGAAACAGTGAAGGAAAAAAATTACACTAGAATGACTGGTGCTTTTGGAATTTTCAATAATTTAAATAAAGATTGCAGTTTTTTGAAAACTCCTAAGACTAAAGGGAAAACCCGAGAAGAAATGTTAAATAAAGGGGTTTTGACACCATGTACAATGTCATTTGTTTTACAAGAACAATTAATGCACTTGAATAGTAGTTCTTAAGGTAATATACATATATTATTATATATTATTAAAAGCACATATTGTTACCATTGATTCTGTATTAATATTTTGTAATGTAATTTCTACTTTAGATAATTATACTCTATTCAGAATAAGAATTCCCACTCGCTTGACGCTTGAGTTCGCGCATGTCTGTTGTCACAGTCGGCACTGATGTCAGCTATGCCCCCGCTGACGTATATACGGCGGTGGCTGTCGGTTGCGACAGGTAACGGTAGCGGTCGACAACTAACAACCAATCACAGCTCTCCTGGCTCTCGCCAGGGGGGTCTGACGACTGCTGGCGGCTCAGTTGATTGCTCGAAAGTGGGGATTCTTATTCTGAATAGAGTATAGGTAGGCTTATTGTAATTACAATCCAGATTTTTCTGTTTATTTTTTAAAGATAACTATTTTTGGAAATTATATGCTTTAGTTTATTTTTCTTTAAATTAAGTTAATTTAGTAGGCAATATATTATTTTGTATAGTGTTCTGTACATAAAACTTCCAATATTTCTGATGCAACTGATCAATAAAATCATTTTCATTATGCCACTCATTTTAATATACCATGTTAAAATGATACAATATATCAAATTATACATGCAAATTTCAATTTTAATAGTGCTGAAATAAATAAGAAAAATTAAGTTTCCTTTCTGTTTTGTGGTAGTTAAAATAATCATATTCCAACTAGCTATATTCAGCCAACATACACCTAATGAAATACTAGTTCTTCATAAATTTTTGTGTCTCTTAGATGCAAATTATATTATACCGTTGCTATTGAAGTTATTTGGATAAAAACAATATCGAGAAGGTATTTTCAAATATAACTAAAAATAATAATAATTAAAAAAATATTATCTAGAAATTCAAAATTCAAAACTATATAATATAAACTGTATTTTATTTAACTTTTTACTCTCTTTACACACATATATATATATATATTAATCATTATTAATCAGTACATTACATTTTAATGTATTTTATTTATATATTTGCTTTATTTTATGTTTCAGCTTTTGACCTGTGAATAATCCAAAAGATATACCTAATAATTTTTAAAGAACTTAACTTTTAAGTCTTCATTAGTTATTCTGACCATTTATTATTTTTATGCAACAATTCAAATAGGTACTAAAAATATGTTTATTTTTAATTTGAATACTAAATATTTATTTACTGTACTTAATACTGATAAAAATTATTTTTGTATTATTATTATTATTATTATTTACATTTAATTCATAATATAGTTGTGATGTTGATTGCAATATTGTAGTGTTAAATACATTTTTTTAGTTGATAATTCCATGTTGTACATCTATAAATATACCAAACATTTCTTTTACATTCTTATATATTTTATGAATAACACATATATTAATTATTAATATATTTGAACTGAAGTACATTTACTAATTAAATAAGGAAGGATTATTCTTCAATAATGCTAAAGCAGCACCAAAAGCAGAATCTTCTGACATTGTTACACTCAGTGGAAGATTATAACAAGTTTCTATTTGTGTTTTTATTATATGGTTTTTGTTTATAACTGATCCTGAGCCTATGATTCTTTGAATTCCAGCTTTCAATAACATTTCTCTCGGCATCATTCTAAAATAAAATAAACTCAAGGGTTATAGTTGTATGTTATTATTGCATTGTCTTGAGATAATTTAATAAACATACTTGAGTAAATTATTAATGATTCCTTTGCAAAAACCTGAAAACAATTCTGATAATGTGAGGTTATTATTTGTAACATTTATTAATGATCCATAAGTTGTTGGATTGTGCCTTTCTCCAAAAATTAAAGGGTTTACTATAAGAGGTGTCAAATTTTCTTCAGGTGATAAATGTAACAATCGATTCCATAATTCATCTGCAATAAATTGTTGCATAATTATTTATGACATCTCAATAAAATATTCTATTATTTAGTAAATAAATAATATTAGTTAATGCATTTTTAAAAATGGTTAAAACTTAAGACTGGTTAATGGTTTCTACTTTTTACATTTACTAACATAACTGACATTATGATGTGGGTTTGACTAGTAGAATGGTATTGAGTATGGATACTTGAGTCTTAAACATAAAAAATGTGTTACTTTTATTAAATACCTTCAGTTATAGTCAATCCAAGAGCAGATACCCAGCTAAACACAGATCTAACAAAAGAGTCTAAGACATTTCCACCATTCAATGAAGCTGCTACTGCCAAGAAGTGGTTCTCAAAATACGGAAAGTATTCAACACCGTCTAGTCCAACAACAAAAAATTGTATAACAAACTAATAAGAATTATTATAAATATTAATAGTCAAAATTTTACCACATTGTGTCTCAATTTCTTTGGCAATAAATGCAACTTGGGCAGAGGTTGAAATGTTAATTACAGCATCTGTCATTGTTGTTAATGTGGCTATTACTGAACATTGCAAATCACCAAGAGCAACACCTTAAGGGAAGTAAATCAATTAAATACAAGTTATTTAATTTTAAAAATGTTTATCATTTACCAACTACCGCGCCTTTTGGTATATTATAAAGTGTTTCATATAATGTCCCTACATTTATTCCAGGCTGTACAACTGATGGTAACAGATGAACTGGAAAATTTGCTTCTGTAAGAATATCTATATTCCAGGAACAGTCAGTTACATTAAAATATCCCCAACTTGCCGCATTGTGAGTAGACATGACTGATTTTCCTTGATTGCAAAGTATTGATACAATTAAATCTTGAATTGTGCCACACTGATTAAAATTACTCAATATTTCTGGTCTAAAAATGATATATAAAAACATTTGTATTTTATTTTTAAGTATTCAATAATTTGTTACACCTATAATAATACTAACTGATTTTCTTTTAACCAAAATATGGTATTACATCCATAACCTGAGTATGCCTTTAAATGAGAATGAGGTTTTGGCAGTTTGGCCAAAAATTGGAAATCTGTACGTGCATCTTGCCATGTATATAAATTAGATACAAATTTATCTGTTTTGCTTGTAAACTCACTATCCCAAAAGTTGTGTACGAATTTTTCATCCCAGAAAACTATTCCATGCATTTGACCACAAATACCAATTGCTTTTACCTTATTATAAGGATCAGATTGTTGGTGAAACTTTAGATTCTGATAGTAGAGCAATGAATGTATTGATTTTACTATGATGTGTTTTTTTTATGTGTGGCCTCTCATCACCTTTAAAAACAGTAAAAATGGTTAAATTTTCTTCAACGGCATATTTTCTTGTAGGAAATTTAATCTAGTTGGTACTTTGGAGGTCAAAGTAAAAAGTTCTCAATTGTTTTCAAAAGAGACTAGAAAAACAAACCAAAAATTTATAAAAAAAAAAACTGAGATTTTTACGCATAACCATTATTCAAAAATATGATTTTATTATTTTTGGTAACTCTAAAAAAAAACTGAATATAGATGAAATTTTTTCTGAATGTTTATCCCCGCCATTTCTATGTATCATAAGATTTTCGAAATATTGCGACTCTTTTTGAGCTATATTTTTAGGCTTAAAAAGTATTATAGAGTACCTAAAGTAGGTATATTAATTTTTTTTTTTAACTATTGTCAATAGCAAATTTTTCAGTTGGTCAATAAACTTGAAAATGTATACAACATTAGTCATAAGTCATTAAGATAATTTAATGTTAGTAGAAATTAAAAAAAAATTAGTGTAAATCCACAATAGTTCTTATGCTCGTCTTAAGGGTGTTGGTGCCGGTTTTATCAATCTTACGAAATTCTATAAAATTTGAAAATTATATTTCATATAATGACCCTCCCCGTTTCGCTAGAATGTTGTTTCTATATAATATCATTCCCTTTTCGCCCAGAGAGTTTAGACCCATTTAAAATTAAGTTGACAATGATTATAATATTTTAATATTTGAGTGCCTACTTATAATTTAGCGTTATCTAGAAAACACCACGAGGAGGCGATACTCTTTGTTTTCCAAATTTTTTTTTTCACAGATTTAGTCCACAATATTTATAAAAACGTATTATTAAAAAATAAAATTTACTCCACAATATTTATAAAAACGTGTTATTAAAAAATCAAAGTTAAAAGTTCAAAATAAATCAAAATATTTTTAAAAGGTTATAGTGCATACCTAGAGATTGCTAATATAAACATTCAGTCAAAATTGGATGTATCTGCGGTATTATTATTTATAAGAGTTTCACCATAAACCAAAATCGATTTTATTGAAAACCTATTTTGCATAAAAATTCCCGGTTTACCTTATTTTATTTTATTTTTTTTTATCCCAGCGCTTTCGGGATTTTAAAATTGTGACCTTCTGGCTCCCAATGCAGTATGCGTATGCACCAACTAGATTCATTTTCCCACCAGAAAAGATACTATAGTTGAGAATCGAAATATTATTTCCACTACTATTATCGTGTAAACTGACAACAAAAAAATTTTTTAACATACCTACCTACATCATTGTAAAATAAAATCAATACATTCATCGCTCCTCCCAGAATCTAATATAAATTATTGAATATGGATAATAATCTCAATACCATATTACCATGAACCAAGATAGTTTTTTATGGTTATCATTTTTTAAGTTTTTACTTTTTTGAATGACACCGCACATTTAATATTCCGAAGCAAAATATAATTCGGTAGGTATACCTACCTATTTCAATGCATAAAAAATCAAATTTCGGGGAAGTAGGTAGTTAATTATAAATTAATTATATTATGTCACTTATAACAATAGTAAGTATTTAAAATTTAGATTAGTGAAGTAGTGAACAACATTTTACGGGGTACCTACTCTCTACAGTCTACAGGCTAAAAACTACCCATGTAGGTACCAGGTTTCTCCACTCATCTAACGATCTAAACGTTAAAAGTTTTTAAGTTATAACTATATAATGAATTACTTCTCCGAAATGTAATGTTTTTGTTTAAGATACTCCGAATAATATTCAGCTTCGGAATTTGAATTAAAAATGTAAAGTGACATTTAAAAAAGTAAAGATAACTTAAACATTTTTTTGAGAAAATATGTTATAAAATTATGTAAAAAAGATATTTTGAAATAATGAGTGTGGACATTTAAATGGATCACTCTGTATAATATATATGGTTCAATTTTTGTTTTAAATATTTACCTTTTCCATCATTTTTCCTGGTGATTTTATACATTGTTTCATTGCTTTCAAAATTTTGACTACATCTTGTTCGTCACCTTTTTGATGACTAGGATTAATTTTTGATATGGTCGGGACCGATTTCGCATAAATAGATTTTGAAGTGCAGCTGTCTAAAAGTGAAACTTTTACTGAACTTGTTCCTATATCTATTCCTAGTATTAATTTTTCAAAATCCATAATTCAACTTATTATCTATGTGCAAATAATTAATATATTTTAACACGATTGACGATACTAATTTTATTAAAAACATAATATAATATAAACTCTTGATCCCCCACTATTTTATGTTTGTACGATGAATTCTACGCACATCAAAAATTATACTATGACTGGTTGTGTTATTTGTATGTAATACAGTCTATAGTACGAACTGCAATATTACTATATCAGCTACTACTCAGTAGGTAGGTATTAAATATTCTTAGGTCAAACTGGATTGAGGTCATATTCATTTAGGTAAATGTAAAATGTCCTTATCGTATTATTATTTTTTTTTTGTTTATATGTTAGCTTTATGATAGGTACTTGTACAACTGTACAAGTGTCGGAAGTGTGCAACGCGTGTTATTGTTTAAATCAGATAAAGCCTCGAGGGAAATTGTATTACCTATATACAAATTAGGTAGGCGAAGGCACTTGTTGCTGTATTGTGTGGGTAATTGCTTGTCTAATATTATCCCATGGGATATGAACCTGTTTTATATATTATTATACTACACTCTATACAGAATACGAACGCACCAGAACAACCGGTAACCGGTTTTGCTACGTAAATCTGGTGCGTTCTTATTCTGGATAGAGCATCGTTTCTCAACCAGGGGGGTCGCGTTCACATTGACTAGGGGTCGCGCAGGACAAAAATAATAAAACTTGAAAGTGGAATAGTTTTTAATTTTTTTGCTTCTTCCAGACCTATCTTAATATTGACCATATCAATAGCAGCAGATATAATGATGTTCTCAGCAATCGTGTGGGGCTTTAATCCCCTAGCTCCCTCCTATTTGCGCCTATGTCTATAGCACTTAGGGTAGCTAGGGAGCTTTATCCCCCCTTAGAGTTTCTATAGCCCCCCAAAAAACTAATGATTTCACTACTATAATTTAAAAGCATCATAAGAGTTTCAAGTATAGACCTGGGCTTCAGCCCCCCCCCAAATGTCTAACGCTATTTACGCCAATGGCTATAGGATGCTAATATAGAATGTTTCAAGTGTTGGGGTGATATTCTGACTTTATTAGAGAATACAAGTTTGATGATTTTTTAAAAAAAATTAATTGTTTTTTTTTACTAAAACTGGGTGATTTGTATCCAGATGTGAGATGTCGAATTAACTTTGAAGGTTTCATACTTTCTTGGGATAGAACTTGAAAGGAAACAACACATTGCGGCAGTATCCAATGAAATAAACCCATAGGTACTTCAAATATTCATTGTTGCTGGACTTTATTTTCTCTGGTTTACCAGAAGTAGATGGCGCATTAGATTTTGTTATATATTTATCCATAATTATTAATTCCAATTGGCAATTACACAAAACTATGCAACTTTAAACTAGATATTAATATGTTATAATATTATTATAATTATGTAATTTATATTTTATAAATATAAGCTGCAGTTACGGAGCCGGGGCGGCCGGCCTCCAGGTGGTGCGTGGTCTGCAGGGGGATTTTTTTCAGGTGAGACCTATACATTTTGATAACGCAAGGCCCAAATGTCATACAAATGCTCGAGGCCCGGCCCGGTGCAAAGTATTGTTATAACTTTAAACTTATAAATTATAATCCATATTTTCCATAGAGTATATACTTACTGCAGTGCTTGAATTGGAAAAAAATAGAAGGGGGATGCAAAAGTATAAAAGATATGTGCGTCCCCGAACATTTAAATGTCTTACTGTTAAGTGGTAGCATATGTCCCCCTCCCGCTACAATGACATTTTACACCATACACCAATAAACCTAACCTAACCCTGATACTATCATAGATATATAATATAGTGTACTTAAGAAGTTTCAAGTACCCACGAATAGTATTATACACTCACAACAAAATAACTAAAATAGGTATGCTAGGTTTTTTAATATGTAATTTCGTCCCAAATTTGAACTTAAAATGACCATAAAAATAAACTGTGCTTGTGTATTTTTTAGATTTTTTGGTAACAGAATTAACTACTTACGTGGAATCTTGTTTTAAATTTTCAATCCTTAGCTATAAAAACTGAACATTTTATAATTTATTAATTACGATGATTGATAATTTTCGAGATTTTGATAAATTTAGTCAAAATGTGATCTTTAAATGCTTATAGAAAAAAATTGTGCCTATGTATTTTTAATATTTTTCAATTGCTATTGTAACAATATATCAGGAGCATTGTATTAATTTTTTACACTTTTTGGCCCAACAGATAAAACTTTATTGATATTTATAGAAAAAAAAAACTAAAAAAATTGAAAACTAAAAAGGTCCGTAAACGGCTCAAAAAGAGTCAAAATATTTTCAAAATTGTATGGTGTATAGGAAATTCTAATATAAACATTCAGTGAAATTTTCATGTATCTACAGTAATTCGTTTTTGAATTACAACAAAATAAGGAAATCGCCACATGAGAAATCGAGTGAATATCCAATGTTGTAAAAATTTGAATTTCAAACGCTCATAAAAATTTAATTTGACTTTCTTATAGAATTTTTTTTTTTGATAAATGTAGGAAATCTTATAAGGAATCTTGTATTACATTTTCATATCTTAGATTTAAAAAGAAAAATTTTTATGAATTTCTAACTCAAAATAATTTGCAAATTGTTGTGATTTTTCCATATTTTGTCATTTTTTGAACTTTAAATGCTTAAAAAAAAAAACTGTGACTAACGATTTTTAATATTTTTCAAATGCCATTGTAACAATATAGTAGGAGCCTTGTATTAAATTTTCAAGTATTTTTACTCAACAAATAAATTTTTATTGATATTCATAAAAAAAAAAAAAGGTGGGTAAGTGGATGTCGCTCTGCTGTACAGTAGGTTACAAGTGGGTCACTGTATAATGGATGCTATTAAATTTGAATTCAATGATACAATATCATTGTATAAGAAAAACGATTCTGAGCGAAGACGGTATGTCAGTCTAGGTTTAAGACAAATTATATACATATCTATGGTATTAAAAAAAAATTGACCTATAATAAATTCCAAATTAATCATATCACATTATCACAATATCCATTAGGTACTTATAACACGTTATACATCAACATCAACAACAAACCCTGATACTATCATATATATATATATAATAGTACACTTTAGAAGTTTCAAGTAGGTACCCACGAATAATATTATATAATCACAACAAAATAACTAGGTTTTTTAATATGTAATTTCGTCCAAATTTGAACATAAAATGACTATAAAAGTAAACTGTGATTGTATATTTTTTAGATTTTTCGGTAAGAGAATTAACTACTTACGTGGAATCTTGTTTTAAATTTTCAATCCTTAGCTATAAAAACTGAACATTTTATAATTTATTAATTACGATGATTAATAATTTTCGAGATTTTGAAAAATTCTATCAAAATTCGATGTTAAAATGCTTTTAAAAAAAATTGTGCCTATGTATTTTTAATATTTTTCAACTGATATTGTAACAATATATCAGGAGCCTTGTATTAAATTTTTACACTTTTTGGCCCTACAGATAAAACTTAATTGATATTTATAGAAAAAAAAAACTAAAAAAATTGAAAACTAAAAATGTCCGTAAACGGCTCAAAAAGTGTCAAAATATTTTCAAAATTGTAGGGTGTATAGGAAATGCTAATATAAACATTCAGTGAAATTTTCATGTATCTACAGTAATTCGTTTTTTAATTACAACAAAAAAAGGAAATTGCCACATGAGAAATCGAGTGAATATCCAATGTTGTAAAAATTTGAATTTCAAACGCTCATAAAAATTTAATTTGACTTTCCGGTAGAAATTTTTTTATTGATAAAGGTAGACAATCTTATGAGTAATTTTGTATTAGATTTTCAAATCTTAGATTTAAAAAGAAAAATTTTCACGAATTCTTAACTCAAAATAATTTGCTAATTTTCGTGATTTTTCCATATTTTGTCAATTTTTGAACTTTAAATGCTTATAAAAAAAAATTGTGACTAAGGATTTTTAATATTTTTCATCTGCCTTTGAAACAACATATTAGGAGCCTTCTATTAAATTTTCAAGCTTTCGCAACCAACAAATAAAATTTTATTGAAATTTTTAGAAAAAAACTAAAAAAAATGGAAAATGAAAATGTCCCTAAACAGTTCAAAATAAATCAAAATATTTTGAAAATGTTATCGTGTATAGAAAATGCAAATATAAACAACCAGTGAAAATTTCATGTATATACGTTCATTTGTTTTAGAGTTACACCAATAACCAAAATCGATTTTTTGGAAAATCAATTTTGCGAAAAATTCCCGTTTTTCCTTAATTTTTATGTTGTTTTTCCCGGCGCTTGTGAAAACTACTGGGAAATTTAAATTTTGACCTCCCCAATGCACCAACGATATTCACTCTCCAATCGAACAAGATACTGAAGTCGAAAATCGAAGCATTATTTCGACTACTTATCGTGTACACAGATACAAAAAAAATTAAAAAATTAAAAAATTAAAAAATAAAAAAACACACATCATTGTAAAATCAATACATTCATCGTTTCACTCAGAATCTAAAACTAATAAAAATGGAAAATGAAAATGTCCCTAAACAGTTCAAAATAAATCAAAATATTTTGAAAATGTTATCGTGTATAGAAAATGCAAATATAAACAACCACTGAAAATTTCATGTATCTACGGTCATTTGTTTTAAAGTTACACCAAAAACCAAAATCGATTTTCTCGAAAACAGATTTTGTGTAAAAATTCCCGTTTTTCCTTAATTTTTCTTTTGTTTTTCCCAGCGCTTTTGAAAACTACTGGGAAATTTAAATTTTAACCTCCCCAATGCACCAACGATATTCACTTTCCAATCGAACAAGATACTGAAGTTGAAAATCGAAGCATTATTTCGACTACTTATCGTGTACACAGACACAAAAAAAAAATAAATAAATAAAAAAAAAAAACACACATCATTGTAAAATTAATACATTCATCGTTTCATTCAGAATCTAAAATAAAAATATTTCCATTAATTTAGTACAATTTTTAAAATGATTCCCGTCCCCAGCGTCCCATTAAAAGAAATTAGAAGGGGTACGCTAAAATATTTTTAAAATAGAAGTGGGACTCCGTCCCCCCGCGTCCCCCCCCCCAATTCAACCACTGACTTACTGTATAACAGTATAAGTAGGTATAAAGACATAAAGTATTAGTGTATAGTGTATTACATTAATTATAACACACTTTAAGCTATAAAATGTATAAATACCTACATATAGTCTGATAGTCTTAAATCGTAATGTTTTATAATATTCAATCAATCAAATTATTTTATCACTGCAGTACTACAGTACCTTTTGTTTTTCCCCCGGTTTAATCGAGAGCCGGAGAAGGAACTGTTGCTCACATTGCTTCTCCTCCGGCCAACGTCATTTATTGCACATCAAAACAAAATTTAAATGGAGTACTACAGTACCCATGTATATATTATAGTATAAATACGATTACGACCACATAGCTTTATGTATAGGCGCAATGGTTAATTATCAAACATATTTTAAATATTCTTACATGAAAAATTAAATAATTAATTGATTAATAAAATTATTAAAATAACATATATGATATATACCTTTTTTTTTTTTTTTGCAGTTTTGAACCGACGGCGTCGCGGGAACTGCTTTCGCATTCTTCCGCGACGCCGCCATCGTTTATTTGAAACAAAACAAATATTATACATACATACGTGGGGGGGTAGACGGGACAATTCCCCGACTTACCCCCCCTCTATACATGACATTTATCAGTTTAATTAATTGACAATTTCGGAGGTTTTGGCGGATGGTCGTCGTTTTGGCGGGCCGACCGGAGTCCGCCGCCCTTGAATTCACGTGCGTGCCCGTCTTGGCGAGCCGACCGGAGTCCGCCGCTCTGGGGTCTCGTACGTCCTACGATGCCGTGATCGTCGTCCCTCCCGTATATGATATATACCTATATAATTATGAATTAACCATACTCAAAAAACCAATATTATTTCGCGTTCAAATTATTACAATTTAGTCAACATTAGGTAATGTGTCATGTGACATACCTATAACTTACTATTGTGGTATTGAATACTTTTTTTGTATTCAAATACTATTTTAAGAACTTTTTTTAAAAAGTATTAAAACACTTTTATTTGTATTTTTTATTCATTAAAAAAATACTTTTTTCCAGTCCAAAAAAATAGTTTTAAATTTGTGACAAGACATATTATAAATTATAAACATTAATTTTATTCTTTGAACGAAGTATAATATTGGCCCATTATATGATTATTTTTATAAACACCAATGTGTTGTATCCCGTATTACCCGTGTCGGCCTTATATTATTTGGTCAAAATTTATAAACAACTTATTATTAAGATGTATTTTTAATTATTATTTAATAAATGATAATTACCAACCATTCAAAAACTGACAAAAACTAGTTGTGAAAAAAAGTATTCTGAATATATTTTTTAAGAATTATACAAAATAAAAGTATTCTTTACAAGTATTATTGTGTCAATGAACATGATAATAAATACCTAATACGTTATAGTCATTAATATTTAATGAATAATGATTACCTAATAGTTAATAATTTATTAATAGGTAGTTGTATTACCTGCTCAGGACCAATGGGGGGGAGGGGCTTGAAATTAAGTAATTTTTATTTTGTCCAGTCTAATGATTTCAGACGTTTATTTGAGGTAGGTATTTTAAAATGTTTGTAACTTTTCAACTTTTCTGGTAGAAAAAAATGCTCTGATCTAAGTTTCGATGCCCGATGCATGTTTTTGGAAGCAAATATTGAATCTAGTTGGTATTTTTAGGAGGTCCAAATTGAAAATGCTCAGTGCTTTTTAAAAAAACTGGAGAAAAAAAATGAAAATTTTTCAAAATTGTTTGGTAACCAGCTTGTTATACCATCTTCACTTGGATTGTATTTGATAAATGAAATTTTTTTTTTTTCTAGAAATGTCAATAAAAAATTATTTATTCGGTCAAAAAGCTTAAAAATGTAATACGTAAGTTTTTATTATAGCTAAAATATTAACGATACATAGGCATCATGGTTATTTTTATAAGCATCTTAAGTTCAAATTACTTAAAAACCACTGTTAATTTATAGTTTAAAACTTATAAAATATTAAATGTGTATAGCTAAGGCTAGACAATTTAATACAAGGTCTTTTATCCAAGTACCTACTACCTAGTTCATACTTTTACCGAAAAATTACAGATAATTTGTGAAAATTGGTATGCAAATACAATGTTTTTTCAAAAATTCATTCTGGTAAGACGTATATGCAATTTACGTCTTGTTTACTATAATTGACAATTGAAACTTCAAAACTCAATAAATATTTTATTTTTTTTAAGTAATAATAATACGGGCAATGGGGGGGGGCTTCAGCCCGTTAGCCCCCCCCCCCCTGAGAACGCCACTGTAATAGACTTAGTTATTATGAGTATGACTTTGTATCGACTCCGCCTTCTACTGTTTATAATATCTACACATCGATTCCCCCGGACACTGTTCACCCCCTCCCAAACCATAGTAGGTGTATTTTAAAATGTATAGTCTATTTAGTATAATTTAGACAATATATTATAATATTAGTATTTAATTAATATATTGTTAAATGTATTTATGTAGTCTAAATTGTATAAAATTATTATAATTATTGTATATTTCAAAATTAAAGTGTATAACTAATATATTGACACAGTTAATAAGTGATCTTAGGAATGTTCAATACATTGTTTTTTGTTAAATATATTAAAATTCACAAACAGTTTATAATTTTAAAATACTCATAACTTGCTTTATGAGAGGGCAATTCACTTTAGTTTTTTTAAACTAACAGAGCCAAGAGTGATCTGCTGAGCATACAATTTTCTATGCTATGGCATTTGTAAGACAGAGAACGCGGGTGTAGCTCCCTCTTAATACCTAATACCCACAATAATAATAGTTATTAGTTACTTTAAAGCAACAATTGAACAATAAAATAATTAGTCAATTTTTATTTGAAATACTACCGACCTTTGGAATCTTGAGGTGGGTTTATATTAGAACACGAATAAATAAGAAATTTGAACCCTTATTGATCACTGTCAGGATTGAGGGGACATAGTATTTTAGCCCCTGCCCTGAACAATAATTTATATTGATATTAATATACCTTATCTATGGACAACCTGTCTAATAAAAATAAGTTCGGACTGTAAGTTCAGTGTCAAATTGACACAACAATTTACAATACAAAGTAAGCCAAATCAATATTTTAAATTACCTAACATAATATTATTATTTAGTTAATATTATGTGGATTTATTAACGTTGAACATAAAATAATATACTATTTGTTTAAAAATCGGTAAATTTTACGAAAAAATTATACTTCATAGCTTAATTATTATTAATAACATAATTTATAAGTACTAAGAAGTACTAGCTGAGATATTTCAGATTTAAAAAAAAAAATTACAAGGCGGACAAAATAGTTGAAAAAATGTACATTTATTTTCTGCTACTAAATTTAAATTTAGATTATTCAAACAAATATAAATTCATAAATAAATCAAACAAATGATACTTCACTATCACTAAAAAAAATAAATAAAAGTAATTACAGTGATAAATTAAATTAGTTGGTTTTTGTATAATATTATGTATTTATGTTCATTAGAAAATCAAATAGTTAATAACTTAAAAAGTGAAAATAAATTTTCTTTTTAACTAAAATTTGATTTTTTCATGACAAATATTTTTCAAATGTTGATACAAAATATAATAAATAAATAACATTAGTTTACAGTGTAAATACATCATAAAAACAAATTCAATTATAATAACTATTTTCATAGGTATATAATTTAAAAAAAATATATTTTTATATTACATATTGGTATTATATTATATTTATCTATATAATATCATGTTAGTATACTATATAGACGAATAGGTAAGTATTTTGCTTGGATACAATAGTATGTATTTCTGCATTGGTATTTGGTAAATATGGGTAGGTAAGTATTATAAAGAACCAATTATTATTGTTTTGTTGAGCTCAGTTTTTAACAGTCAATTGAATTGAGATAAATAAAAAAAAACATCTATGGCTTATTTACTAATGATATAAAGATTCTTCAGTATGGTATGAATAAATCTGGAAAATGACTTAAAAGACAAATAGATTCTTTGGGGTACGCTAAAGCTAATTTTTTTACTTCATCATTTAGATGATGTTCGGTAACTAGTGTTGAATTTTTGTTCTTAATGTCCCTTAAGGTTAATATACTTCTACATTTGTTAGGATAGATGTTTACAATATCGATATCATTGTTTTTGCAACGTACGCTGACAGTATTTACAAAGTAGTTCAAGAACTCCATAAATTTATTGGTAAAGTTTAACTTAATGAGCAATTCGTTGAATATACTAGAGCATTTTTGGAACACCAATGGTGATTTAGAGCATACATCGATCAAGTTATTGATTTCCCACAATGATATTGCAGACAGAATAGTTTTTTCAAAAATTAAAGGATTCACTTCAATGGCTTTTTCGTGAATAATTATAGGCAATTGCAATACATTTGATCCTAATTGAGTCCAAACAGTCATTAAAATTGAATTCAATGACTTGTTGTTTTTATTTAAGATAGATTCTATGTATCTAGCATATATATCTAAGTCTGCTCCTTGATCGAGTATTGATTTCAATTTGATCATGTGGTCATCATCTATTGCATCGAAATCAATGGAATACAAAAGTTCTTGAATGTTGGACTGTGTGCTGAGGGTACTGTTGGGGATAAAGTTTGATGAAGTGTACAATAATGTTTTCAAAATCATCTAGAATCAAAAACAAAAATGTAATTATAAATCTAAAATTTGATATTTAACAAAGTAGGTATATCTAATATCAATATATTATATTTGCAGTGCTCGAATTGGGAAAAATTAAGTAGAGGAGCTCAATCTAACGATTTAAAAACTGCGTTCCAAGGGCACAATTATTCAACACAGACCATACAAAAAATAAAATAAAATAGTAGAGGAGCTCCGTCCCCCTGGGACCCCCCCCCTAATTCGAGCACAGTTTATTTGGTTGAATGACACTTCTAACCTCGTTTGATTAATAAAAAAGTAACTATTGAAGTGTTTTAAAATAGTGACTTACTAAACATTTTCCAAATATCTCGTCCTTATCTAAGTGTTTATTTTCCAAATGTTCCAAAAATTTAGCTAAACGATCTTTATTTATTTTTCTAAAATTTGATATTTCCATCATAATAATGAATAGCACAGATTAGGTATATGCATGACGAAATAATTTTTTTTTTGTCATGGGTATATGAAATTACATTATATTATTTTCATATTTCATACAATTTGTGATAATATTTTACATAATATTCCTAGTCTTATCTAAAACATACTGGATACTAGCACAGAATAATATAATGATACTAGTGTCTACTGGATAGCCATGATTTAAAATCATGAAGCCGTTTTGATCAGTCCGATGTCACCATTGAGCATGCGCAAAACCACGGCTCATGCGCAAAACATTAACCGTCCCACGCTATCCAACACTAACAAAAAAAATCAAATGATCATGGTTCATGATATTGATATTTTATGATTTATTGCTATATAAATTTAACTTTTAAAAACTCCTTTTAAAAATTTTGATTTTTTAATTTTTGTCTTTTGGTTATTATTCAAGAAGTCTCACGACCATAACAAAATATTTTGTCATGCTCACGAACACGGTCTTAGATAGAACCACAAAATAATATAATTTAATTTTAATTAAAATTTAATTTTTTATATTTTTATAATTTTTTTTTTTTGATAGTACTATCTATAATCGTGATTTCGCATATCAGAAAATTACAGTTGATAATGTTATCAGAATGCTCTTTTTTTGTATATCATTCAATCCATAGAGTAATTACTCTATGATTCTATCATTGTATAAAAAATTAAAATGGGCAGATAAAAACTCTTAAAACCACTTAAATTTAAGTTAATTATTATTTATTGTATACTATTAAGTATTAATTAAAATTTAATTTTAGTTTTAATTTTATCGGAACAGTATTAATCGACAACATTATTTAATAAACTCATCATGTCTTTTGGTGGTTTTATTGATTTTTTTCAAAAAGGAAAAGTAAGTGCCAAAATATTTTACCATAGGTATATTTATATTACAAATATACTATTGTACAAAGTGCAAAATTACCCATTAAAAATAAATTTTCAGACATTTAGGCCGAAGAAAAAGTTTTCACCAGGCACTCTTCGTTATTCGTTGTACAAACATGCACAAGCTTCATTAAACTCTGGAATAAATTTAAGAAGCGCAGTACAATTGCCACCGGGAGAAGACTTATATGATTGGATTGCTGTTCATGGTATTATTATTACATTTTAAACTTGTAGTTTCAATTAAAAAAAACATAACAGCATTTGCCAATATTTATCAATATTCAATGCTCACTATACAAATCCTCTTAAAACTAAATTTATTATTGATTCTATGATTTAAACATCTCTATACAAGTTTTTTACATACTTATATATACAATATGCTCATAGGCACATATTTTACAGAAACTAAATTACCTGAATGTTCCTGAAATATCTTCTAAATAATTTTTATTAATTTTTTAACTCTAGTCACAAGCTCTAGAGCATAGACTTAGTTTAGTCGTGTTTGTAATATTTTTATATACTGTTGTTTAGAATTTAACATTTTACTTAGTTAAATTAAATATTCTACTTAATCCCTTATTTGACATAGATAAAAAACTGACTCACTTGGGCACTAGTGTTAAATTCTGAATACATAACGCCATAGGTAATAATTTTGATGTTTTAATGAATTGTAACACTGGGTCCACACATAGTAAAAAGGAAACAAAAACTCAACTTTCCATTGTGGACGTGAAATTCTTGATTGTTTTTGAAAATACATGCTGTTTTGTTTAAATATTGTCTTTATGTACTAAGTCCTAACTCTAGTACATAACTTTATTTTCATTTTCAGTGGTTGATTTCTTCAATCGTATAAATTTGATATACGGCACAGTCTGTGACTACTGTAACGATACATCTTGTCCAACTATGAGCGGTGGACCAAAGTTTGAGTATTTATGGGCTGATAAAGAAAGATATAAAAAACCAACACCGCTACCAGCACCACAGTATGTTTCACTCCTCATGGATTGGATTGAAACACAAATTAATAATGAGAACCTGTTCCCAGTATCTACAGGTATGTTTAATTGAGGTCTTATAGTAAGATAACACTTAACATTATTGAAACTGTTTTGTTTGTTAATAGATGTACCATTTCCCAAGACTTTTATGCCACTTTGCAAAAAAATACTAACTCGATTATTTAGAGTATTCGTCCATGTTTATATACACCATTTTGATCGAATTATATCTATAGGAGCAGTAAGTATTATTATATCTTGGTACAATGAGAAAATAAAATATTCAGCTTACAATGTGATCGATATTTATAGAAAAAATCTAAAAAAAATTGAAAATAAAAATGTCTATTAATTCTTTTTTCACCATATAATTTTCAAAATATTTTGACTCGTTTAGAGTTGTCCAATTATTTGAAAATGTTTGTGTTTTTCTATAAATTTCAATACAAATTTATTTTTCAAAATTTAAAAATATAATACAATATTTCTCATAAGCTCATAAGAGTTAAAAAATGTTAAAGATACATAATATTATGCATAATCTTTTTTATAAGCATTTAAATTTAAAATTTGATCAAATTTAACTAATTATTTTGTAATTACAAATTTATAAAAGATCAGTTAGTAAAACAAGGTATTTTAGAAGTAGTTTATATTGTCACAAAAAAATAATCTAAAAAATGGTATAAACACAGATTATTTTTAGTGCTTTTTTAATTTTAAATTTGGACAAAATTATGTTTAACTGAAGAATAATGTTCTTAGTTATTTAGTTGTTGAGTTTATACGTGCCTAATTTAATTCAAATTTAACACCCACTTTTTTTTCCTTACACATTTTAACACTATCGGATACTTTAAATGTTGATCTCTTGAATGCACTAATAACTATATTCACTTCCCCATCAATAAATTTCATTGATTATTTCAATAGAAAGCAAAAGCTAAATATTTCATGCCATTTCATAAGCAATTATTAAATCTAAAACAAATTAAAATGTATTTTTAAATAATTCATCTGCTCACCGAGAAGGCTGTTGACAATAGAGAGCCAGACTGCTGACGGATATTAATAATATTATCATAATATATCAATATAGAGTATATACATTGTGTTGTATATAAAGTATAATGTATATTACAATCACTAAATTGCTTAAAGCATTTAATTTTAGCACTATTCTATACTACCTTATTTAAAGTATTAGAGAATATATATTTGATGTTTATTTATGCTAAAGTTAATAACATATTATAAGTAGTTGTCATGTGGCCTGTTCCCAAAATTGTTAGTACCTACTACCTAGTACTAATTTGTACCTCATGGTTCACAACAACACCACCTACCCAAAACAGTTGGTAAAGCGACTGCCTGACCTGTACCACGTGTCCGGCGCCACTTGTTAAATAGTTACTCAAGGATGATATAATTTGCATCTGTTTTGATACACTGTTGTACAGTTCTGATAAATCTTTATTCAACTGTTTTAAGTATTTCTTTTATTAATTAAAATTGATTAATATATAAATATTATATAAATTACTAAAAAAGTTAAAGCCTTAAAATATTTATTCAAATGCATTTCTTATATGCCATCATTACCAAATGCTACTGAATATTAGTTACTAATTGATCGTATTATTATTTCATAACTATTGTAGATGTTTTGTTTGTATCATTTAAAAGAGAATAGATGTGGTGTTGACATTTTATTATTCAGCACACGTTTTTATCTCTATTTTTTTATGTTTTTTCTAACTTGAGAATGATGTAGTTATTCAATTTCATTGACAGCCAATGCATAATATTTATAAAAATTAATTACCACATCTTCAATAAACCTAATACAAACCCTTTCAGCCATTCATAATATAAATGAACAATAGGGCTGTCATATAGTATGCGGTCTACCGGTGAATTTACGAGTATAGTATGCGGTCTACCTGATATTTGCGAATATAGTATGCGGTCTACCACAAATAAATAAAGTATCAATTATATCATAATATTATACTATAATTGTTGTCAAAAATGATGAATATTGTGCATTATTGTGCATTATCTTAAATAATTAAAAAAAATTAATAATTAAAAATTTGTTTGTCAAAAATATTGTTGTAAAAAAAAAAAATATACAATAATAATAATAATTTAAAAAAAAACATATGTTGTTCATATTACAAAAACTTCAACCATATCTCTCAAAAATGCATTAAATAAATCCAATTTGTTTATTCCTCGCCACCATCTTTTTCACGCCGCTTTTGAAAACTACTGGGAAATTTTCATTTTTGAACCCCCAAAGTACCAACTAGATTCACTTTCCTATCAGAAAAGCTACTGTTGAAGAAAATTCAAGCACTTTTACTGTCCTAAAACGTGATGACAGACACAAAAAAAAAAAAACACACAACATTGTAAAATCAATACATTCATCGTTCCACTCAGAATCTAAAATAAACTTAGGCCTGTCTACAAACCGGCCGGTCGCAGGTAGACCGCATCCTTCAGCGGCCTGCCGGCCGGTAGAACATGTTTGCTGGTAGACCGCATACTATATGACAGCCAACAATAGTGTAATGCAGCCAGAATGATAGAATTGTAGCTACACTCCCATGCTGCATTAACATTTAGATTATCGGCAAAGATATTTCAGTTTCTTTCATTTATTTTCATGTAAATAATGTTTTGGTTTATAAAATATTTAAATTTGTGTTTGTGGTGATTTCTAATATTAGCATATCTATAAATTGTTTTATCTTAGAGAATATTACTATGTACATTATACTTGCATTTTATTTTACAGGAACCACACGTAAATACATGTTACAAGCATTTCTATTATTTCATAACAGAGTTTGAACTAGTCATTAATAAAGAATTGGAGCCACTAATGGAAATGACATCAAAAATGTGCCAGGATTGCCTTCAGAATGAATAGTATTTTGTAACCAAAATGGCATCAATTAAAAAAATTGTATATATTTTAAGAAATACTATGTGGCATTTATTTTACAATTTTGTTACCTTTAAAATGTGTATTTTTAAATAAATATTATTTTGTTAATTTAATGAAGAGTTGACTAATATATGTATAAAATACACTTATTATATTAAAAAAAAAAAGAAAAAGAAATGGATTTTAAGAATTTTTTATTTTATTAATAATTAATTATTACAAAACTTAACCCTCTTGTGTACGAATACGTGCATTTCCATTGGTCAATCTGATAGATAACTCTTGGGCTCTAGAAACAATGGTTTTACGGTTTTTGGATGAAACACCATGAGCGATCTCTCCACAGTATTTCCTGTTCTGCATCATCAACATTTCCAATTCCTAAAATTTGAATATTCCATAAGAATCCATATAGGCTAGTTCAAAGAGCTAGGTATACTTACTCTTACGTTGTGTACAAGGACTTTACGGAATTTGGAAGGCAACATGTGTCTGGTTCTCTTGTCGCTACCGTAACCGACATTGGGCATCAAATACTGTCCCTTGAATCGTCTTCGGACTCTGTTGTCAATACCCTTGGGTTTACGCCAGTTGGGCTACAAAAAATAAATAAAAAATAATGAATACAAATAATACCGTTGAAAACTAAATATTAGTTCAAATAAACTTACCTTGAGTTTGTCATAACGATCACTTTGATGTCTGATGAATTTCTTGGTGCGTTTTTTGATAATTGTTGGGCGATACTTCGGCTTGATCGACATGGTTAATCTAAGATAATCAGACAAAAATCAATCTGGATTTGTACGGATTTTAACTGATCTTACGAGACAAAACGTATACAAATATAATTAATATATAATTTCGATCAAATAGAAACCCTTTATCGATTCTTAATGAAATCGTATAAAAGACAATTATGAGAGGATCGTATTGATAAATTCAGATGAAATCTCACAAATATACTTACAAGTTTATAGCCTTATACGATGGATCTACGGGAAAAGTGGACGTACGTCGAAATGTCGTACATACAGCGAATAAAAGTAAACAACACAGACTGCGAACTGTATTTTGAGGTTATGGTTATCATCGGTAATCCGTATGACATTATCACGTTAAAGGTGTACCAACCTCACAGTTCTTACAAAGAAGTTCGCTCGCATGATTTCTGTGTGGTGACGTCTGATTTCAAAATCGCTTAAAAGTCAAAACTATGGAATGGTATTAAAATTATTGATGATTTAAGAATATTATTTTGTCAATGATTAAAAACCGACAAATTTTCTATACGTAGGTCTCTGGTCTATACCTATAACAATACTTATATCACAATTATAAAGAATTATGTAATATAATATATTCTATATTCTGTATAATCGTGGTTGATATATACCTACGCTTATCTATTAAATTAAAAAAGAATCAAAAAATATTAAAAAAATCGTTTAATGAGAAATCGTTACTTTACGCTTGAATATCAAATTTTATCAAAATTTTAACTTCAGTCGTTCATCAAAACTGTTTGTGGAATAATTACGCTAAACCTCCACAACCAATTATTATGATTTTATAATTAAAGCATTTCGTAATTCACAATAAACAGGCAGAAAATTTAAATATTTTTTAGCGTATTATACTTAATTTATTTTTAATTTATTTATTTAATATAAACGGACGTGAGTCCTAAAACATAATATTACAAAATACCTTAATAAATACCTTAATTAGTTGTATTATAAAAACTATTTTTTTGAACTACAAATACATTTTTCTTGTTTGTATAATTGGTTGAATTTTTTGTTTCCACTGCAGACTGGCAAATTATAAGTAACGGCCTTGTTCTAAATTGTGAATTGAACTGTATACAACTGATAATATTATTGATTAGATATTTTAAGAAGTACTCAATTTCTGATGTCTCAATCGGTATGAGTAAATCATTGAAAAATACAATAATTTAATTATAGGTAATATAGAGAAAAATAAACTTTAAGACTATAAGTATAATAAGTATATTAGTATTATATTATATTATAATTTATATTTTATAGTTCCATATAAATTTGAAGAAAATATTCAAAATTCTGTCAATTTATGTCAAGTTTCTAGTTAGGTACTTAGGTATTATATTATTAATTACAATTAACCTATAGGTATTATAATATCGATTCTTTTCACTTTTAAGCGTAGACTAGGTATAGCAGCATATAACATAATCTATATAAACATCACTAACATGTACATGATTACATGAATACATGATTATCTACATGAACAATTAATGTTCTATGGTAGCACGAAGTATTATTTGTTCAACTTCAATCAATTAAAAATAGGTTAATTAATTTTTTTTAATTACCAACTTGATGACGCTACAACTTTTAAATAATAAATTTGATTAATTATTAAACAATGTATTAATAGTGTATTTAAACTTTTATCCTAAAATCTAATATTTCTTCTTATTACAAACTGTAGCTGCAATTACGGGTTTATGTCAATTTAATTATTTAATACAATAATATTTAAACCTTTATTTTTATTCAAAATCATTGTATTGTGCTATTAAATAAAACAAATTATCACGTATAAACGTGATTTTCTCTTAACGTGTTAATTATTTTTAAAATTAACTAGGTAAGTCAGTGGTTCCCGAAATGTGCGACGTGGCGCCTTGCTGCCTTAGAATTTTATATGGTTCAAAAGTAAATTTGAAAATCCGATGATGGCGGCGGTGGTAACAATTACGATGATGTAAATAAAATGTATAAATTATGTATTTATGTATAATTTTGAGTAAATATATATTAAATATTTTCACATTAACCATTAACCATTACGATTTGTTCAGGTTTTTATTTATTTTTCCTATTAATTCTTATGATTAGTCATGCTATAGCTTGGGAAGAGCGCCCTTAGAAAACCTTAGTTCAAAAAGTGTGCCGTGAGCCAAAAAAGTTTGGTAAACGCTGAGCTAAGTTATTATAATTGTTACCTACTGACTACATAAACTGTTTGACTAGGTAATTAGACTTAAGTTTAAATGCTAATTAAAAAATGATCCAACTAGTTAAGTTAAAAAAAAACCTTTCCAACTGTATAATTAACTTTTAAGCAGACGCCACACCCGCATGTGTTGTATCCGTCTTACAAGCGCTTAACATTGCAAATGTACGCACAGCAGATCACGTTTAACTCCGTTAGTTTAAAAATTAGAGTGATTCGACCTATAACAAAACTTGACTTTAAGAACATTATTTGTGTTCGTATGTTAATTGTTTACGATAGACGATAGTTTAACATAGTTTAGTGTATTTTTAGCAAGTTATGAGTATATAATATAGAGTAAATAAAAAATGAACATAACTCTCTCAATAATTGAATAATCGTAAAAAACCAAGTTTCAAACACAGATAATGTTCTTACCATCAAGTTTCATAATAGGTCGATCCATTCTAATGATTAAACTAACGGGGCTAAACGTGATCTGCTGAGCTTAAATTTGCTATACATATATATTACACACTTCAACACTTGTCACACACACTTGTGACTTGTCACAATTATTCAACGTTGACAACACATGTGAGTGTGGCGGAGTTGCGTCCCCTTAAAAGTCTTAATGACTTAATATAATAGTATAATACAGTCATACTATAGTCTATAATATTATATAGAATATCTGAATATAGATGACTGGTAAGCAGCGAGTACACTGGTTAGGAGCGCCACGGTGGGTAAAATTATAGCAACAACGTTACTAATTAATAATTATAAAATAATTCGAGAACGTTTGTTGTTATTAATTAAATTATATTTTTACAGTGAAATATGTTACATATTATATAGACAAAGAGAAAGTTTTTTATGCAATAGGCAATAAAAAAGTTTCTTGCAATTTTATAAGTTTAACTATCTACCTATTAGGTATACATTTAATGATGATAAAATTATGATACGCCGTACAGTAAGTTTATGGGATATGGCTATATTGTGTTTGTGCAAGTAAATGTATAGGTACCTAACACGGGAATAATTCTTATCAATAGATACTTTAAGTACTTTTTAATAGCACCGGGTCCCCTTATTTTTATTTATTAAATACTACTTTACATGTTTTATTTGTGTAATTAAAGTGACCATTTTATCATGGTATGAGTTTATCTATTTATATGAAACCCAAATACTAGGTACTATCTCACTCCCTCGCTCACTCACTTACTCATTCATCACTATGTCTCAACAACTACAAAACGTGTATGAACTTGAAATTTGGAATAGTTCTTCTAAAGTTAATGTTAATCCTCTAAATAGGTGGTCAAACAGGGAGCTTGCAAAGATTCACGTCGGGAATTGAAATTTTTTTTTTTTAAATGGTTATCGTTGGTTGCAGATTATAATAGTGAAAGTAGAAATAAATATTTTTTATTTTTATATATAAATGGTTGTCATTTCAACCATATTATGGTTACTCGGGCAGATCAGGTACAAGCAATTCAGAGGCGTAACTATAAATTTGAGTCCCCGGGGCAGTATCAAGTGTTGGGCACTTGGGTAGTTGGGTCTCATCTATTAATGCCACCAAAATTCTTAAATTTGTAACTAAAAAAAAAGTAATAATAAAAATTATAATTATTTTATTTATTTAAGGCGTCGACAACTGAGATCATAAGCATGTTACTGTGAAGTACGGTTGACTTATATGGTTTTGGACACGACGCATGTGTGGCAAGGATTTGTCACTAATAGAACTCGGATGGTCACACATCCAGGAACTAGTAGTACCGGCCGGTGTTTACTCTTAGATCACGTTTCGTAACTGATTACAACCACCGCACTACACCACATCATAATTATTATTATTATATAGTTTTATTATATTATATTATGTAGGTATACAGACTACAAAGTAACTAGGTATTCAAAGTTTTATTTTCAACTTTGAGCTTAGAAATCGTTTTTTTAAATTATTTTGTGTCCATTTTCTACTTCATTGCTTCTATAGTTCTATGGCTAAAATTGCTATATCGCTGAGGCGTTCTTGTTCTTGTGTGCTCCTTAAATAATTATTTTATTAATTTCAACTTTGAGAATTATCGTTCGGTATTGATTGATGTTACTGGTAATGTTCAAAATAATATTAAAGAGGTTATGATTACATTTTGATTACATCTTCCACGATTAGTTAGATATCTACAAATTAAATGAAAAAAGTTAATTTTTATTCATAAACAAGTTGATTTTTTAATTCGTTGCTCGTAAAAAAATTGTAATTGTTCAACAGTTCAACTCCTATTGGGACATTGGGTATAACTTGCTGCAGTAAGTGCAACTCATCCGTCAGATCGCGGACAATGTGGAACAGCAATACGGCATATCAAGTATAGCCTATAGGCAACCCACCTGCTAGGTGCAACTCATCCACCTTGGTAGGCAATGTTCGAAAATTCGATTTGATGTATGCTTGTCCTTTTTAGGGATCTCTTTTGGAGATGTCAGAAAAGTTTACAGAGTAAGTACCTAGTTTAAACCACGTTTAAAAATATATATCAAGTGCTAATATTAAATCCCATATAGTCAGTGGCGTAGACAAGGGGGGGACGTGGGGGTCAGATCCCCCCATTGACTTTTTATTACCTTCGTAAAAAGTTTTAAGAGAGTGGGGAATTTTCCAATTTTCCTCTCCTATTTAGTTAGGTATGTCATTTACTTTTTTTGATCCCCCCTTTCAGAAATCATGTCTATGCCTCTGACTCTATATAATATACTATATTATATATACTGTGTATCTCGATTAGTATGTATCTAAATTTTAGTAAACCTCAGTCCACGGACAAATCGGCAAGTCACATCAGAAAATACATCAGAATTTTCATAAAAAGACCCATTAAATAATTTTCAGTCAAAAGTGAGTATATTTATTAGAATATCAATGTAGAAATCTGTGTCGCCAAGGGACACTCCGTAATAAATAGGTACAAAAAGTCTCAAGTATTTGTAAATATATTGACTTTAAGAATATTTAAAAATTCCAAAAATCAGATTTTGAATAAATTCATTATTAAGAGGACGTCATACCCTCATGACGTCTTGTCTCCGTCCTACACACGTACGATATAGACAAAATGCGTTTAAGCAGTCTCAGTATAAATCACTCAATTTTGGTTCTAGAGTAAAAATACCTATTGTAAAATGGAATTGTGGCAATATTTCTGAGGTCGTTACGTTTTTACCATAACCCAATATAAGGTTCATTATTATCGTTTAGAAAATTTCAACATTTTTAAAATACCTTCAACCTTAAAAAATTTTAATTTTTTAAAAAAGACTCAACGCGTTGCCCTCCAAAATATTGTCACATTTTATTTTGTAGTAGGTGTTTTTATTCTAACACCAAAATTGAGCGATATTATAGTTTAATTATGAACGTTACTTGAGGGACTAGTTTGGGGGTGTGTGGGGGCAGAGTAGAGCCCTCCACATTTTGTGCTTATTTTAAATATGTTACGAGCTGAAGCCCCCCTAACTTTAAGGTCTAGTTTCGGCTATGGTCATGACAAGAACACCGGTATAAGTCTAGAACTACCATACACCTTTTATTTACAGACCGACCCATCCTATATCAAAAGCATTGATAGTCGCGATCCTATATAGAGCAGCCCGCGCCACCTATCTGGACTTGGCCGCCAGGCCGGTCTATAATTAGTAAAAGGTCTATGAGAACCTCAGGGCTCAGACTTCTATTATACAAATTTTATACACAACTGCTTATTTAGAAATCTGTGTGTACTGTGTATTATCATAGAACTAAAACAATTTTATTATTTGGATTATGTCTCGACGGTCGTATTTAAACTTGAGATATTTCATGTTGGTTTATTGGCCACACTGGTTACGGTCGAACTTTTTTCATTATTCCTTCTAGAAATTTCCATAGATTGCTCACTTTGGTCCCGGCTTCATAATCTGCCGATTCAACCCGTTCTGTCTTGTGATTTTGTGCGGTTTTACGAATCATTCTCGTTTGATTTTCAGTCGTCAAATCAACGACATTAAGTTCCATTCCCGTTTTGCCGAACCGTTCAAATTATTCAAGGTAAGATAAAATTTACTTTTGTCCGATTACGGATTAATGGACGTCGGTATTCTACAATTAAAACCAACAACACGTATTCTAACCTTTGCACGACCCGGCCGGCTTTTTCGATATTGAAATAACCTAATTCGTTGGCACAGTTTAAGTTTCGGCCGATCGATTGTCATCGTATTTCGAATTTTCCGACAATATCTCGGTTTTGGATTATGAACCGATTGAAATTAAGAATAAAAATAAATCTGTATATAGGTTACCCGCCGAGACTACCCATGTGGTTTTTATTTAAAAATGATCTATTCAAGTGAAAAAGGGTATGCTAAAACAATAAGTAAAGTACTAAAATTGGAATCGCAACTATTCCTTATTACATTTACGGTTTTGTTCAATAATATTTGATTTAAAAGTAGAATACGTCATATTGAATTGACTATATTGCTGGATATAACAATGATTACAATTAGTTGCATTCCATGACGAAATCTAAAATATAAGTACCTATTATCTAGCTATACTACCTACTTGTTTTAAATTATTCCAAATGAAAGTTCTTTAACTGAAGACTTTTTCATTTATAATCTAGTTTAATGTTCATACTTATTTAAGCACACATTTTTTTTATTTTGTGGTCATTAAATGGTTTCACATATTTTGTATTATTTATGATTGTTTCTTTTTAATATTTAAATATAAACTGTTTTTATATTTAATAGATGTACCGTATCTCTGCCGCTCTTGCAAGAAACAATGTACCCAAATACTTCGCTAGAAACTATGCCAAGGACATTAAGTTTGGTCCTGAAGTGCGAAAACTTATGCTCGAGGGAGTTGATATCCTTGCCGATGCTGTTGCTGTAACTATGGGTCCAAAAGTGAGTAAAATTACTAAAATTATTAGAACCTTAAACGTCCTATACACTGTACTCCAACCAAATCAGTTTTTCTGTTCATTTCCCTCCCGCGACACTCATATGGGAACCTGTTTTGATAGCAGGGTGCCGGGGGGATTTACAAAATCAGCGTGCTCTCTCAATGGACATTATAGCATATTATACTATTATTGAATATCAAATATTGGTAAATTTCTGTTTTACCGGACACCCTTTTCTTTCCAATTTTTTTATTTTAACAAATGTAGTTAAAAATGATGGTAAAGTCAGAATTTGGCCATCGGACTTAGTTTTGAAGTTATAGCTATTTAAAGTTGGAGAACCAAGGTTAGGGAAATGCGCTTAACTAAACAAAGATGTTTGAATTTTTGATTTTGACTGTCAGAGCGAGTGAGTGACCACACCAGGTGTATATGAAAATACTTTAAATTTCAATTAGCTATAACTTTAAAACCAAGTCTGACCATCAAATTTTGACCATTGTTTTCAGCATGCTTAACTACAACTAAAAAAACTCAAAAAAAAATAATTGTCTGTTAAGACAGATAAGTTCCCAAATATTTTATCATTATGTTATTTTTGCTTTAGGTACCTACTTATATTTTAAGAATCTATTAAAAATAATATTTTTATTTAATTTATTAGGGCCGTAATGTTATCCTAGAACAAAGCTGGGGTTCTCCTAAAATCACCAAGGATGGTGTAACTGTTGCCAAAGGTATTGAATTACAAGATAAATTCCAAAACATTGGTGCTAAGCTTGTACAAGATGTAGCAAATAATACCAATGATGAAGCTGGCGATGGCACAACAACAGCTACTGTGTTAGCACGTGCTATAGCTAAAGAAGGATTTGAATCAATTATTAAGGGTGCTAATCCAATTGAAATTAGACGAGGTAATTGGTAGTAAAATTTTCTATGCTTTAACATTTTTAAATAATCTTATCTTTTTATTATCAGGTGTAATGTTAGCTGTCGATGAAGTTAAGGTTCAATTAGGTAATTTATCAAAGAAAGTTCAGTCCGCAGAAGAGATTGCACAAGTTGCCACAATATCTGCTAATGGTGATACTAGTATTGGACAACTTATTTCTTCAGCTATGGAAAAAGTAATGCTTCTATTTGTTGAATTATAATTATGGTTTCAGCTGGATTTTATTTTTTTGTAATTTGTGCTGACAATTGATAATAGGTAGGAAAAGATGGTGTGATTACAGTCAAAGATGGAAAAACCTTAGAAGATGAATTAGAAGTTATTGAAGGTTTAAAATTTGATAGAGGGTACATTTCTCCATATTTCATTAACTCTGCTAAAGGTAAATATAAAAATATATACCTACTTTTTTTAAAAACTTTTTATTAATATTAAATCAATCTTCCAAAGGTGCCAAAGTAGAATTCCAAGATGCTTTGGTGTTATTCAGCGAGAAAAAAATTTCATCTGCTCAATCATTAATTCCTGCTTTAGAATTAGCTAATGCACAACGTAAACCACTTGTTATAGTTGCTGAAGACCTTGATGGTGAAGTTATTGGAATGCTAGTTTTAAATAGGTATTATTTTCAAATATGATTAATTATAAAAGTATATAATAATTAATAATATATTTCTAAGTATTTGGTATTATTTATAGCTGCTTAATAAATTAGATTTATAACCAAAATTTTTTAATTTTTTTCAGATTGAAAATCGGTCTAAATGTTGCTGCAGTCAAAGCACCCGGATTTGGAGATAATCGCAAATCTACATTGACTGATATGGCAATTGCAACTGGAGGTGTTGTTTTCGGCCAAGAAGGTAATGAACTGAAGATTGAAGATATCAAAGCTGGTGATTTTGGTGAAGTCAAAGAAGTGGTTATCACCAAAGATGACACTTTGCTGTTGAAAGTAAATTTATTAATACATACACATTGTCATTATAATTATACTAATAATAATTATGAATAGGGTAATGGCATACCATCTGACATTGAACAAAGAGCTGAACAAATTAGAGATCAAATCAAGGATACTTCATCTGAATATGAAAAAGAAAAACTGCAAGAACGTCTTGCAAGGTTAGCATCTGGTGTTGCTGTATTGAAAATTGGCGGTAGTAGTGAAGTTGAAGTCAATGAGAAAAAAGACCGTGTTACTGACGCGCTAAATGCCACCCGTGCAGCTGTTGAAGAAGGTATTGTTCCCGGAGGTGGTACTGCATTAATCCGTTGTGGGCCTGGATTAAATGCAATCAAAGTAGCCAATAAAGACCAGAAAATTGGTAAATATTATTGAGTAATCACACATAATATTATGATGCGCCTGGAAAAGATCATTTTAATAAATAAATTATTTGATAGGTATTGATATTGTGCGTAAAGCATTAACCATGCCATGTATGACAATTGCCCGAAATGCTGGTGTTGACGCTGGTGTTGTAGTTGCTAAAGTGTCTGAAGGTAAAGATGCTTTTGGATATGATGCAATGAACGACGAATATGTTAACATGGTTGAAAAGGGAATCATCGATCCAACCAAAGTGAGTTAAATTAAATTTGTTGGGGAAAATGTACTGGTATAGATAAAATCGGTCATTGACTATTTTCAGCGTTTTAAATACTTGTAAGCATATTAGAATCTCATTAATTTTTTATTCTTGGGGGTTAAAATATTTTTATGCAAGGTTTTTCAATGTATGAACAATATTACTTAACATAATACCATAAAAAACATGTTTGTTTTAGGTTGTCAGAACAGCAATAACTGATGCTGCAGGTGTTGCATCATTATTAACTACAGCAGAAGCAGTTATCACTGAATTACCAAAGAAGGACGAGCCATTACCAGGAGGTGGTATGGGAGGAATGGGTGGAATGGGCGGTATGGGTGGAATGGGTGGCATGATGTAATAATTTGTTTTAGAAATCACAAAGACTGACATCGCAAGTGGCATAAATATTTTTCTATCCTAGTTATGTGTTGTTCTCGATGTTTTATTTTATAAGAATCAAATTTATTAATTATTAGTAACATTATTAGTTTTTTTTTTATACATATTTTTTAAATTCATGTGTTTCTATGTACAAATGGATTGTAAGTTTCATTAGACACACATGTTAAGAGATATTTTGTCTATTGCATAGATGTTTAAATTGGAAATTGTACAAAGTGTTTTAGGTCATATAAAACTCATTCCAAAAATCATTGCATATATTTGTTTTTTTTTTTTATTTCAACAGAATAAAAAGTTTTGTTGCAATTATTATTGTTTTTGTCCGGCCTCGTTGCATTGTAATGAATTAAATACTGTCAAGCACATTAACAACTAGTGTTTTGTAGATTATCTTATATGGTTATAAATTCTAATATAATATGTCCACTGTTTAATGAATTAATGATATTTACCATTAAACTACACATAAATTATGATTAAAAAAGGTAGGCAAGTGGGTTCCGCTCTGCTATTATTATAATATATACATTAGGTATATACATAAGTAGTAAAATAAGTTGAATTAATAATTCCGAAAATATTGCATATGAAAATATCATTTTGTGTATAGATTATAATATAGGTACTTTAAAAGTGTCAAGTTTAGTGAAGTGCCTTCGAATAATATTTTTGAATTACATTTTCTGGAAGTCCATTGAAGATGGCAGTAACCCGATTTTATTATATAGAACGTATGAAATAAAATGCAGTTACTGCCGTATTCATTGAAAATCTAGAAAAATAGTGATAACATATAAAAAATTAAAAAAAAAAAAGTTTAGTAAATTGAGTTACTGCCTTATTCGATGCACACGTCGAATTAAACTTATTGTGATTAATTGTATAAATTCAGTGGCAGTCAAATGATTTCGTCATTTGGGGTGGATAGGGCTGATCTTTTGTCATCCACTATTTAATTATTAAAAATATTATAATTTATGATCATCAGATCTTAACACGTTGACTGCCATGCGACCGCCGGCGGCCACATAAAAATAATTACGTATCGATAATTTTTAGGCCGCCGGCTGCCGCACCATATCATTCCTAGGAGGCCATACGGCCGCGGGCTGCCATAAATGAATTTAGATTTATATTATTAGCTTTTCCATGGTGCTACAATAATGAACTGAAAAATGCGCCGTGGCGTAGTGGGAATAATTACAATTTTTTTGATGTAATAAACATATTTTTAATATTTTTTTTGAATTTTTTAGTTAACATACAATTCGATAGTATATATACAAATTTGTAATGACACTGGAAAATTTGATTGGCGTACCAATGATACATATTATTATGGCCGCTGGCGGCTGCCGGCGGTCGCATGGCAGTCAACGTGTTAAACATTGGAAAATCTGGGAAGTGCTGCTGTATAATGGTTGTCTAGAGAGTCACTGTAATGGATGTGTTAAATTCATTGCATACAAAAAACGATTCTAAGCGTAGACGGTTAGGGTTAGCGTTTAATATTACTAAGAACCTAGGTATATTTTATGATATTATTGTGTTAAGGAAATGCATCTTACTATTAGTAGTATAGTAGGTTAAATTAATTTATGTCAAAAAATTGCATTTGAAAATTTATGTGTGCCTTTCTTATCTTGAAGTATATATAATAAAAACTGTAGTTTATATATTCTACTTGAATCATTGTTTAAATGTTCAATCCTTGGCTATTAAAATTTAATATTATATACATATTTAACTGCAAAATGATTTGTAAATTTTCAATATGATAAATTTTGTTTAAAATTTGAACTATAAGTGCTAATGAAAAAAAGCATAACTGTATTTTTAAACTGATATTGTAAAAATATGTGGAAAGTTTTGTATTACATTTTCCAGTATTTTGACCCAACAAAGGAAATATTATTGACATTTTTAAGAAAAAAAAAGGTGGGCAAATAGTTGTCAATTTGCAGCAGAGTATAGTGTTAAATTTGAATTCAATGGTAATGGTATAATATTATCATTGTATAATAAAAACATTTCTGAGCGAAGACTCATATAATGACATATAACATTATTACTTACTAGGTATATTTGATATTATTGTGAATAAAGTAATTTATTTAAATATTTATGTTGAACATTCAAATACAATCATACACAATCAAAATTCAAATATTAAATAGTTCATAAAAATTTAATGACTTTCAGGTAAAAATTTTTTTGATAATGATACGTACCTATAAAATGATCTGACTAATAAATTATTCGTGAAAAAGAATCTTAAGAAAAACATTGTTAAATCAACAATAATCAAACATAGAAACAAAATAAATGTTTAATTACTGATTTACCATTATTTTGTTATGCATGAGTACCGTTGAGAAACGGTCTAAAGGAAAAAAAAGGATTAAACCCTACAGCTAATAGCCTTAGTTGCCGGGCTTAAGACAAAAATAAATAAATTTAAGATCTTGTTAGAAATGAGAAAACACAATAAATGTTAAAGATATTATTTTTATTTAAGTATGTAATTATTATTACTTTATACAGTTTTTTGCAATCTTTTTGGCTTTTTATTTTTCTTGGTTTTGTTCTTTTTCTGAAACAAATTAAACATATTATAGACAATTTAATTTGAACAATAAACTATTGTATTAATTATAACTACAGTAAATTGTGTAATGTGTAGGGTGTTTTTTAAGTTTTAAGACTGACAATATTTTTAATAATACATTGATACAAATTTTAAAAGGTTAATAGTAAATGAATTTATGTTTTTTTGGAAAGAAGTCGTGGATTGACACATATTTTCATTACTTAATGTTGTTTTTACCTTCTGCAATCGTTTTGCAATCAATAAAACCTCTTTTGATTGATTGTGGTATTTGGCAAAATCTGTTTTTTCATACTTATGAGGGATAAAACCGTTATTTTTTTTCGAATTATTTGCATTGTTTTGTGTAGTTGAACTTGTACTAGAACTTTGTTCTTCAAGCGTTATTTCTCTTATGATTGTATTTGGAATTTCTTTTTTTACATTGGACAGGTCACTAATATTTTTCTTGATTTCTTTAACCTAAAAACAAAAAATATAAAAAAAAAATTAAATCAATTATGGAATCTGGTAATTAATTTTAAATCAAAAATATAAGTGAATCATAAAATAGGTTGTAAAATTTAAAAATTTAATCAAGTATTGCCGGTATAAAATATTTTTAATGAACATAACGAATCATTAAAAATCAATTTAAATCATGTTCAAACATTTTTAGAAACCACTATGGTACAGAAATATTATTATTATACATAATATTAAAATACATTTATGAATATTAGAATCATCTGCATTAGTAAAAGTGTTTGAATTTAAATCTCACTTGTGGTGTTAAATAAAGTTTGTCTGGACATTCCATAGGGATACTAGCATTTACTGGTTCGTTGCTGTCGCTGATTTGTTCTTTTATCTCAGATGATTTCTTAAGAACTTTGTTATACTTAATTGTTTTCAAATACAGCTCATATGGCTGTTTATACACAATATTTGTTAAACCAATATGCTTTCTTGATTTTTTTTTCATTTCCTACGTAAAAAAGAACTATTTATTTAATAATGTTTATGGTTGAATAAAGAACTGATTGAATAAAATTAAAATCTATCACTGAGTTACTTGAAATATAGTTATTTCTTGTGGTGTAAAATATACTAATTCAATCTCGTCCTCGACTAATTTATTTAAATCATTTAATAACGTGGGTAATGAGTCTGCTTCAGTTTCTTTTGATTTAGAATAGTCATGTAAACTTATCATGTCGACATCTATATGTTTGATCACATCTTGTGAAAAGCTTTTATCTTCATTCAACTTTTCGGCCTGCAAAAAAAAATTATTAAGTATACACAAAAGCATTCAAATTTCAAATTAATTTTAATTAACGCCAAAATATTGCTAACATTTTCAAATGTTTGTTCCCTAGCATTTTTAACGATGTAATGGATTTCGTGAAGACATTGTCGAACCAATGGAGGTACCGGGGAACAACAAGCCAGTATACCAAACGATTCTTTGGGCAACATTTCTGATATCTTAAGCAACATATGATTTGGTAGAATGTATCTGAAACAAAAAAAATTAAAAATATATAACGGGAAAATGTCTAATAATTGTACATGTATTTTTTTATCTTACCCTGGACTTTCATCTAATTCTCTGGCTAATTTATCTCTCCAAGCGTACAAATGTTTGAGTGCATACATTTGCTGGATGTCAAACATTTTTTTACTCCGCTTGTACATACTCAAGTGACTCTCATCCCTTAAAATATTCACTTCATACCTCTAAAATAAAATGTAATTATCAACAACACCAGTAACAAAATATCAATCAATCATTTTTTTACCGATTTGCACACATCAGCACTTCGTTGAAATACTAATTCGATATAGTTACATTGGTTAGTCGACATTGCCATTAGATCTTTTTTTATCATATCATACACATAGAGTAAATAGTGAGTATCACATCGGGCATAAAATATGGCTTCAGCCGATAATGGCCTAAAACAATGTATCATAAAAACATGCATAAGTTTTGAATGGTAGAATCTTAAATAACCTTAGATTATATACAATGGATGGAGCTACGTATAAACTGCTCATATACTGAGCCGTGTCCATCATAACCCCCCCCTCCCCACAACTTATTTAATTCCAGAAAACAATGCTCAATTGCGCTAAAAATTACTATAAATAACTAACGAGTGGGGGATTATGTTGGACACATATGATTAAAGTAGCACCAATGATTGTATATATGATTTAAGGGTGGAACAATATTTGTAAAAAATATTTAACAAATTTTTAGTCTTTTACAAATTATTGTTACCTTGTTCTCCAATCGTACAGTTGAAATGTTTTATCAGCATCTACATTACAATAATGCTTTAATAAGAACTCTAACCCTTTTCTAGAAAAGTTCAATATTTTAGCAGCTTGATATGTATCAAACATATTGACAACATATAGACCCAGATCTCTTTGCAGCCATGGAATATCACTATCCGCTCCATGGAATACCTGAACACGGACAAAAAAATGAATTACGTATTGATCTTCTCTTTTTAAATTCAAAACAATTACCTTGACTACTGCAGGATTAGTGAATATTTCATTGAGCACATGCAATTTGTCTCGAAGACATAGTGTATCTATGATATAATCGGCATTTCTAGTTGATATTTGCATTAAGCAAGTAAACCCTTGATACGTTCGATAACTGTGTGCCTATTAAAAAAAAAAAAAAAACATCATGTTTTATTGTAGATTGAATCAATAAAAAGTTTGAATCCCACCTCTAAATCAATAGCTAATTCGTTAACAGTTTGTAAATGCAAAACCATTGAATTCAATTGTTCCTCAGTATATACTTCAACAAATGGTGTGTCTTCTAGTGAAGCAGGCTGTACAGCTGTTGAGACTTTTAAATGTTCTACTGGAACCTTAAATTCTTCTAATTCTAATTGATATGGATGTTTATAACTAAAGAAAAAATAATTTAAAAATACATTTATTTTGTATACAAAACCATTGATACTACTACTACAGATTGTAAATCGGTTTTTCAATGGCGCAAAATATTACTCTTAGCAGATGGCGAGGTGACGTGACTACTAGAGATTACAAAGTCACACAACATTACTAACCACAAGCCTGTATCCAAACCTTGGCCACCCGGGTTAGTAATTTTGTGTAATGTTGTAATCACGTCACCTTGCCATCTACCAGGAGTAATTATTTTGTGCAACCAAAAAATCGGCCATTGAGCAATCAATAGTATTTATAATCAATAATAAAACTATGAAATATAACCACTTACAACATGATTCCATCTTCATTCGTTTCCAAACACAAATCCAATGGTGTTTTACTGTTAGGTTTACTAGTAAGAAGAGGTTTAAATGGAACTGGCCTATTATCAACTTTGATCTTGAATTTTATTTGTGGTCTTTCAATATTACGGCCGTGTACTAATATTCTTTTTTTGTTTGCTGCTTGTGTATTGTCAGTAGATTCTGACGCAAAAGCTTTAGGGGTAACAGTTACACCCACATTCTTGAAAGATCCATTTAATGTATCAATATTGTGAGTCTATAAAAAAAAAAAAAATATTCTTGGCTCTTCATAAAATAAATGTTTAGTGCATTTGGTATACCACTCGGTCTAAGATTGTGTCATTTCCTTCCTCGACAAGTTCAAATTGATGATCAGCATCTTTACCTCGAATATTTCCAGGGATTTTTTGATTTTTCAATATTGCAGATATTCTGTAAGTCAAGAATTTAATGAATTTTTTTTAAATAGTATAATACGTAATACTTATTTGTATTATGTAAGTATGAACTTACAATTTGAGAACATGATTTTGACGTGATGAAACAGCTTTTTTAAACTTGGGGTAACTGTTATAAAAATTCCAGTTCACCCCACTTGGCAGATTGTTAGAGGCTCGAGTGCCTTCGATAACTGTCTTGAAATCACTCTGAAAAAATAATGTATACATAATATAATTTATATTATTGTTATTATATAACATATAAATACTGAACAGCAGATTTTTACAAAGTGTCTTAAAGTTGAAATATTATAAAATAAAATAATATGAAAATGTCTACAAAAAATGCCTGGTAAAAAAGGTTTAAATTTTAGCATGAGGAATGATCCCAAACTTTCTTCACTGAACTATAATAATAAGTATAAGACAGAGTTAAAATGAGTTAAATATGAATTGTTTGATTAAAAAAAACAATAATTTTTTCTAAAGTTTAGAGTTTAGTATAACTTAATTATAAATTAAAGATTTTTCATTGTTGTTAGTAAAAATTATTAAATGTATGACATGATAGGTAACTATCGTTGTTATATAATTATAATAGTTTTTGATAGAATCAATTTTCACAATTAAAACACATATTTTGTATTAACACCTGATAAATGCAATGTGCCATAGCGGAAATTCATTACAATTTCAGGGGGGCTAACATTTTTAATATCAATATAAGCCGTGTAGGCTTCGATCTCACGCAACTAAAAGGGTGTCTTTTTTGGGAGGGCTTAGCCTATGATGTAGTTGTGTATAGTTAAGATCATTAAACAGGGGCGGCTCCAGGGGGGGGCTATGGGATGCTGTATTTCTAAACAATTGTACTGTTAAAAATAAAATAACAAAAAAAATCATATTATAATATTGAAATTTTCGGAAAATTATGACTTGCCCCCCCCCCCCCATGACCATGTCTCTGGAGCCGCACCAGTATTGAAAGTAGTTAATTAACTTACCATTTTATGTTAGTTGTAATCCAGCATATTATTAAACATTTATACCGAATTCTCGTGACGCGGTGTACAGTCTCACAGACCACACTACCACAGGGCACAGACACAGTGGTCAGTCACACAGAGCATCGTGCTAAAATGCTTATCAAATATAATTAATCAACAAAAACGTGTGGTGATAACGATTACAGGTCGGCAAACTGTTTGGGTTTCAGTGTAGGTAGAGTGAACAATCATTTAGTATAAGTATAGAATATACTATGGGAAATGGACATTTCCCCCCCACCATTTTTTTAAAGTTAATTATTGACTAATAATATTGATTTTAATAATATAATATTATTAGATTCTGAATGGAAGGATGAATGTATTGATTTTACAATGATGTGTGTTTTTTTTTAACTTTTAATTTTTTTTAATTTTTTTTTTATGTCCGTCATCACCTTTTAGGACAGTAAAAGTGCTTGGATTTTCTTCAACAGTATTTTTTCTGATAGGAAAGTGAATCTAGTTGGTACTTTGGAGGGTCAAAAGTAAAAACTTCATAGTAGTTTTCTAAAGCGCCTTGAAAAACAAAAGAAAAATTAAGGAAAAACGGGAATTTTTACACAAAATTTGTTTTCGAGAAAATCGATTTTAGTTTTTGGTATAACTTTGAAACAAATGACCGTAGATACATGACATTTTCACTGGTTGTTTATATTTCCATTTTCTATACATGATAAAATTTTCCAAATATTTTGAGTTATTTTGAGCTTATTACGGACATTTTTAGTTTTTTTACTATAAATATCAATTAAATTTGTTGGGTATAAAAGCTTAAAAATTTAATAGAAGGCTCCTAATATATAGTTTCAAAGACAGATGAAAAATATTAAAAATCCTTAGTTACGGTTTTTTGTTATAAGCATTTAAAGTTCAAATATTGACAAAATATGTAAGAATGACAAAAATTGCAAATTATTTCGAGTTAGAAATTCATAAAACTTTTTCTTTTTAAATCTAAGATATGAAAATGTAATGCAAGATTCCTCATAAGTTTGTCTACCTTTATCAAAAAAAAAAATGTCTACAAGAAACTCAAATTAAATTTTTATGAACGTTTGAAATTCATATTTTTACAACATTTGATATTCACTCGATTTCTCGTGTAACGATTTTCTAATATTGTTGTAATTAAAAAACGAATGACTGTAAATACTTGAAAATTTTACTGAATGTTTATTTTAGCATTTCCTATATACACCATATAATTTTGAAAATATTTTGACTCTTTTTGAGCTATTTACGGACATTTTCAGTTTTCAATTCTTTTAATTTTTTTTTCTATATATATCAATACAATTTTATTTGTTAGGTAAAAAAGCGTGAAAATTTAATACAAAGTTCCTGATATATTACAATAACACTTGAAAAATATTAAAAATTTATATTCACAATTTTTTTCATAAGCATTTAAAGTTCAAATTTTGACAAAATTTATCACATTTAAAATTTAATAATAATTTTATAGTTAAAAATGTATAAAATGTTCAACTTTTATAGCTAATGATTGAAAATTTAAAACAAGATTCTACGTAAATAGGTTATGAATAAATTACTTTAGTCACCTTAGTATCATCAAATATACTTCGTAATATCATAGGCTGAATAACCGTTTTGGCTCAGAATCGTTTTTCTTATAAAATGATATTATTATATCATTGAATTCAAATTTAAAACCATCCATTATACAGTGACCCACTTGTAACCTTTTGTACAGCAGAGCACCTTTTGATTAAATAATTTGAATTTTTTTTTTTTAAATAAATTATAAAATATTAAAAATAGTTTTTATTTTCATAAATATAATAGATTATAAATGCGTATATGTTTAATAAACTGAACTACTTACTTGAAACAATAAAAATAAAAATAAATAAGTAGGTATAAAGTAAAATATGATTAATAATTAATAAAAATTATGGTTAAAAATTCCGACATAAAAATGATACATTTTGTAAAAAACATTTCAATTCTGATTCTTTTGTTAATTCTTAACTTATACTTTGTTTATATTTATTTATTTATTTCTTGTTAAAACTGTACCAGTTTGAATATTTAACAATTTAATAATTGCTTGTGAATTTGATTCAAGTAGTTCAGTTGATCATAAATATACATCTATAATTTATTATATTTATGAAAATATTTGAAAATATTAAACAATAGGCATAAATTAATTTCATATTATAAATGGCCATCTGATCTAAGGTTTAGTGTATAGAAACTTTTCATGGGTACCATAGCACAGAATAGAATAATACTAATGTTACTAGTGTTGTGAATATTATGCTATTCAGTAGTACTAGTGTTCTACAGCTTGACGTCGTTCTGTGCCTACATTGGACCTATTGTCCTGTGATGGTGAGATGACACTATTGTACCAGGAACCTAGAGGCCATAATCGTGCGCTTATGGTTCTTTTTACTTATTTCATATTATACACAAAACACAATATTGAACAATATTCAGTTCTACTAATTCTACAGCAGTGCAGCACAGACTTCTATAGACATTGACATCGTTCTATAAAAAAAGTTTAGTTATATTGTAGTATACAGTATACAAATCTGTGTTCTACAATCACTGAAATACAGACAGCAGAATAATAGAATATAGAAGTTTGAATTGGGTTAGATAAAACTGTAAAGGGCGGTGCTAGATTTGGGAAAAATTAGTAGGGGGATTCCAAAGTGTGAAAAAATGTTGTGTATTTGAATATTTAAATATCTTATTGATTAGGTATAATTACTTATTAGAAGTCTGAAGTGGTATGCATAGTTCATATTTTTTTAAAAAAAGAGGAATTTTGCGTCCCCCTCCTGCAACGAAGTACTTACACTAAAATGTAAGGTAGTGGTGATCACTAATCGACTGTCTTGTTAAGAATACTTTTTTAATAGTAGGTATTCAGAATACGTATTCGAATTTCGAATACTGTCTTTCAAAAGTATTCGAAATACGTCCCAATTCATAATAAGTACTTTTGTGTAGTACCATTAAAATGTTTGTACGTTTATTACTAATTCTCAAATGTTAACTTATAAAATTAAATTATTATACTTAAAATATTTTAACAATTGGTTCAATAATTTCAGATGTTCAATGCAATCGGAATCGGATTGTTTTTTATTTCAATCTGACAAAAATCTTATACACAATACCTATTACCTAGTTAAAGTTTTGATTTTAATAGAAATAACAATAGATGTGTCTTAATGTCTTATTGTTTACTAAACAGTGAACAGT